GCAGAGTAAAAACTCCACCTATTCTAACACAATTAACCTCCAGCTCCAGTTTCACACCTCTATAAATCCACCACTGAACTGGACAGTTAAATCACTGTGCCGACTCCGCTTAGATATTCTTCTCTCCGCAGGAAAATGGCAGGAAACTTGTGCTGATATAGTGGCTTCCTTATTGCTTCCTATTTGCCTGTTGCCTTACTCCTGCTGCAAGTTGGTAAAAAACAACGGGAAACCAGCGAAACATCATCTGAGTTAGTTTAATCCAGCAGCTAAAATCAAACAGACTGAATTCTCTGCAAAACAACAGATAAAACGCAATTTTTTTGCCTTGATCTATTTGCTGTTCCCAGTTGGTTTTAAATTTTGAGTACTTGATTTGAGCCTTTAAACTGTCTTGAAAAATCATGTAAAGAAACTAAAGGCCAAGCAATCTTTAAAGAAATGCATTTAACCCACTGCCTTTCAAGCAGGCTTTTAGGTAGGATTTTGGAAGAAGTCGTCAACGCTTTACACCAACCTCCCTCTTACAAAGTTTACACAATTCACCACAGGAAATAAAAGTTACAGATAAACCAGGACAGGAGATTGTAACAACAGGGGCCAAGATAAGAGCCTTTATGTTGTCCAAGACAACATATTTTTGTTTTAGACAACCAGATCCCGCCTCCTGTAAAAAAGTAAAAAGACCTGGATTTAAGTTGTCACAATGGATGTCCACATTTGTAAAAACAAATAGGAGGGAAAAAAAAAACTTCTTTAAGTCATCCAGGGGTTAAAAATGACGGTTCTGTCGCCCAATAAAGAGAACTGCAGTCGAAGTTTTACCCAATCACAGCAGAGCAGGGTGAGTCTTGATGTCTGATTGACAGCAGGTGCCTTGGGTCGGCCGGTGAAAGCTCTCAGTGTTTCTCAAGACTATTTTTCCAACGAGGTCTACTGTAACACCGTACCTTCACACCCCTGACAAAAACATGAGAGATCACTTGACTGTCATTTTTGAAGCAGAGGCTCAGAGACTGCTTGATAGGAATGTGCGATATGGCAAAAAATTCATATCACGATATAGATTATGATGGGTGGCGGTAACGATATACGTATATCACGATATAAAAAACTTATAATAGAAAATAAATAAATCACATATTGAGTGAAATTTATAAATATGTATAGGTAAAAAAATTTAGACCTTAAAATCTCCGTTTTTAAAAGGGACACTAAAGTCTCCCATAAAAATCTAAATTTAAGGGAGACCTACGTGGTTAAATCAAAGATTTTATATTGTTTTATATTTTATTTTTACACACACACACACACATATACATATCACACACACTCAAACAATAACTTTAATGTAATAGATATCTGCATCCATTGGATGTTGTGTTTAGAATCACCTGCTTTGTTTTAAGGTGGTAAAACAAATTGCTTGTATTTTTTCCTTTCTACACACTTTGTAGATTATTTTTTTCTGCACTCCACCTGTTTAATCTGTGCGCGCTCTGGCGGGGTGACACAATCATCCTGTCTATGCTTTTTTTTTTTTTTTTTTTGGAAAGACAGTCTGACTGTCAGCCTTTCCCACAGCACTTCCCCGCTGTACAAGGAGACAGTATTACACTATGACCGCAGGAGAAACGAGGTCCAGACTCAACGAGCTTTTGTACGTCCTCACCTGAGCACTGACTTCACCTGCACTGACTGTCGCCTCGCTGCGTCACTGTGACGCGGCTCACGCTCCTCCCGCAGCAGGCAGTGTGGTCGTTCGGCATCCGACCGGAGGACACGCCGTCACGTAAACATGTAAACAGTTCGGCGCTCATTTTCGCACACCCAACCAGGTCCGGATAAGCTATGTTTTTTTTTCCCCCCTCTTCATTTGCGCTCTCAGCCACGCTGCTTCCCTCTTCCTCTGTTTTGACTCCAGCCGGTTAAGTCATCAAAAAGAATTGTGCGGTTGGCCGGTAGACTACAGATCTCTATCATAGGACAAATTTATATCATTTCTACCGTATATCGTTTATATCGCGCATTCCTACTGCTTGACCACGACCTCCCGCAGCGTGCCTCCGATCAGCCTGGGACTTCAGAGCCTCTAAACTCTAACTTTGTTTCATTTAACGTTAATGTGTTTGGAGCTTTGTTGTTATCTTACAGACATGTGCAACTCGCACCTGAACTCCTGACTCTCAAAGAAGGCAGAGCCACTGCAGGAATGCACATTAGTTCTTATAATTAAATATTAATGCAATAAAAGTACTGACAAATATTTATATGCCCCAGATTATAACAAAGATGTGTCTCCTTTTGACGTTAATTTTCCTCTAAAATGACAGCATTCTCTGTGAGTCAGCTTCAGCTGGTTGTTCATCATAAATATCTGCAAAATGAAATTCTACCAGGTGTTTTAGTAACAACGTGTTGTGGCTGTTTTATGCTAAACTTATTTAAAATCATACTGAGAGGTAGCTGTGATAAACGGAACTCAGTAAATATGAAAGATAAATGGTATTAAATGATTACATGAGCTAAAATCCTGTGAATAATCATCTTAGGGGAAAAATATGTCAATTTGATAAAATAAATCAAAATATGCTTTGCTGCTTTAATCCCTGAACCTTAAATACTCCAGCTCCTGAAATTGTCAACCTAGTTGAGTATAAAGTATTTTTGTATGTTTACTGTATACAAAAAAATATACTTGTAAAATTAAAAAAATTTCTTGAAATTTTTTGCCATCTTTGTAAAAGACAACCAAAACTTTTGGCCGACAACCAGATTTTGTGTAACAGGTTGTTCGCTGGACAACCTGAACATTTTTTCTTATGTCTGCCTCTGAACAGCTACTGAACCTGTGACATCACTACCCACCTCCTCTATCCAAGCCAACACAATTTATTCTTCATGCGTTTTCCTCTGGCTTCATAAAATAACTGCGGTCACCCCCACGTCATTTATGAAGTTTACAAAATTTATGTAGGGGAAAAAAATTACTGAGGGAATCCAAAGATCGAACAGGTGCCCTGGGGCATCGCCACGCACAGAACTGTGTTGTTAAGTGTTAATGACTCTCAGCTACTACTTCACCCAATTTTAGCTCAGTATCTGTAAAATGAACTAAATTACAGATATTACAGTTTGACTTGTTAGCTACTCTGCTCTGAAACAATTAAACATATCTGCACTTATCCAATTTTACTTTCTTTTTATCTTAAAGTGCCTAAATAACTTGACATACTTCACACATTTGTACTCATTTTGTCGCAGAACTTGTATATTTTCTTTTGAACTTGGTTGAGCTGAAATGCAACAGGAAGTGACATCAAAGGGGAACTCTTTAAGAAAGTGAACTCCATGGTCTGTTTATTGAAACAATATTTGAACTCCCGACTCGTCATCATCCCTCTGGTAGTGACTCAAAATAATCTGTTGTAATCTGTGTAGTTAGCCCTTGTAGCAACGCTCTGTTTACATTCAGACAGTCCCCTTTGACATCACTTCCTGTTACTGCACATGTGAATATGGCTGTGTCCAAAACGCCAGGCCGGGTCCTACGAAGGTCGAATTTGTCAGCCGCATACGTCACAGCGCTGCGACGAAGGACGTCCAAAACCGAAGACTCCTCCGATGCGGCCGACAAATACGTCCTTCCTTTTGCCCGAATCGAAGGACAGGTCTGATGGATCCTTCCCGGGCCAGCATATCCCATAATGCATTGCGGCCCGACCGGAGATTTTTTTATGCTAGTAATGGCGGATGAAGCGAGAGAAAAGAATACGTTTTAAATAAAAATATGGTGATATAAAAATTAAAATTTTTTAGCGGTTGTAATTCTAATACTTTTATCATTTGTATGGACGTGTTTTTAAATATTATTTTTGTCATAAAAAAACGTGAAATAAACATGCACCTACAGCGGGTCAATTAGTTCTTCAAATGCTACTTTTAAGTTAATTTTAAAGTTTTGTGATATTAATAATGCTAATGTATTGATATTTTTCTAGTTTTGATTTAAGTTTGCTTGTTTAGCGTCGTCACAGTTGCTAGGTGACATGAGGTACGCCTGGGTAAGGAGGGGAGGCTAGATCGTCCAAATTCACAGCCTCTTTTTTTCCGGTCTTCCCGGTCTACCAAGGACCCGGCCCGCCGCAACCGGGTATTCTGGGTCCTCCGGAAGACCCGGCCTGTCGTTTTGGACACAGTCAACAACTGTTCATTTTAGCTGTGTGAAATTTGTTTTGAAACCTGTTAATGTTATCTTTCCTAAAATGAATTCATACTTATTAAAAGAAATTGATGTCACAGGCACTTTAAAAGGAAAAATATGGCTGTGCATACTGTTTTTCCCCCCTTTTTATGTTATATATATTTACTGACATCTGTACACTGTAAGCGTTTGAAACCAAGTTACTTTTTTGTGGATGAAAACTTGGTCAATAAATGTGATTTTGAATCTGAAATGTTAGTGTTGGGTAAGGCTGTTAAGGTGGGGTGGTCATTTAGAACCAGGTTGACTCCAAAGGGTAATCAGTTGTAGATGTGTATTTTTTTATTACGTTATTAAGAGTTAAATTAAAATTCATCCAGCGGTTCAAGAGATATTTTACTAATGCTACAGACAAATTAACACACACACAAGACCAAAATGTTGTCAGTTTGACTGGGGGTCGATACAAAAATAAAATAAAAAAGAAGCAACCTTCCAACATGTTGTCGTATTTAGCTACTGAGAACAAAAATACCTGTCAGACTTGAAGCAGAAATCAAAGCCAAAGTGCTGTGATGTGTTACACCAAGCTGAAGGAGTAAGAAGTCTTAAGTAGGAGAGGATTTTAGCACCAAAGCCATGTGGCAGCTGTCACCAACACAAGCTACTCACAAGCAGGACAACCACAACTAAAAGCCCGCTGAGCAACAAACAGCACATTTGTCTCAGAGTAAATAAAACAGGTGGGTCAGGAGAACCCCAGCGATGACCCCCCCACGCTACGGCTCACACTTACATCCAGGTCAAAGAACTCCTGGGAGTCGTCCAGTCCCTGCACGCGGACCTGGAGGCCTCGCCCATGGCTTTTGCTCCCGCTAACCACCATGTTGCCGCTGAGGCTTTGGCCCGGCTCCAAGGTGCTGATCCCAGCGTTGAACTGGGCACCCAGTCTTGTGCCAGGGGTCTGCAGGACCCGATACGAACCCTCTATTTCCCCCATAACTCCTTCAAAAGCTGCTGCCCCCTGCAAACATCGAAAAATAAAAACAAAACGCAACATTACAAACAAATTATAATCGTTTCATTTGGAGACTTCTCATCTGATTTTTCCTGGTTTTAGTTCCTCCTGTTCATTTTTATAAAAACACCAACTGCTTCAGCAAACTTTCAACTGTTTCACTATTCAGGTATCAAACTGTTCAGCTTCTGTATTTTTTAACTAACTTTATTTATATATTGTCCCTCATAGAAATGCAGTGAGATCTCTCCAAATCCTTGAAAAGCTTAGCTTTTTTTTAAACACTTCATTCATTTAAGCTTGAAGTTACTGCTCTGCTGGTTTTAACTTTTAATTAAAGATGTAACTTTTTTGTAAAATGTTTTGCTCATTTTAGGTTTTCGTTACTGTTCTGCTGATTTTAAGAACACCAACAAATTTGAGCTTTTAGCTGCTGTTTCAGCTAGTTTTAGCTTTTAACTAATGTTTTGCCATTTTAGTTTATAGCAAATGCTCTGCTGGTTTTAGCTTTTAGCTTTAACTCCAGCAAAATTTAACTTTTAGCTGCTGTTCTGCTGGTTTTAGCTGCTAATTAATTTTGTTTTCACTACTGTTTTGCTCATTTTAGTTTTTAGCTGTTGGTTTTTTAGCATTTAGCTACACTCCAACAAAAAAATTAGCTTTTAGCTACTACTCTGAGTCTTTTCCTTTCTAACTACAATTGTGCTATTTTTTTTATTACTGCTCAATAGTTTTTGGCAAATGTTCTGCTGATTTTAGCTTTAAGACATTTCTGTGATTTTTGCATTTTAGCTCATTTTCAGCAATTGCAAAACTCATTCGGCACATTTTTCTAGTTTGAGCAAATATTCACACATATATTGTAAAGGTTTTTCTGAGAACTGCACATTTACTGAAGGTTCAAACTGTGCAGGAAAAAAATAACAATTTAAAAGACGACATACCAACTTTTCATGCGTGTGGGGCCCAACTCTGGGTCATTAAGATGTGACTGTTTGTTCCTAACTACATTCTAAGCTAGAGAAAATAAATATAAAACCAAATCAAAGGAAGTTACAGAACATTTAATGTCTGAAAACTGAGTCTTGTTTTTCGTTTTGAAAACTAGCGCTCGGTCCATAAACACACCGAACAGAACCAAGCCGAAGTTTGGATCCATAACTGAGCTCTCGCCCCCCAGAAAGAGTCACCTCGTTTGGGCCAGACATTAAAACGTCCCATGAAGTTGTTTACTACTTACCGTCGGTGGCCGAAGCGGTGGAAAAACGTTAAAAGTTTGCAGCACAGAGGGAGCCTCCACTGCGCTCCATGGTCGTCGTCGCCGCAGTGAGTGAGCACTCTCAGGCTGCTCTGTGATTGGCTGGAACAGTCGAGTGTGCGCTGCCATTGGTTCAGATGCAGCGAAGATTTACCTTCCTTTACTTTAAATAGCTCATGGATGGAAGGAAAGCTTATTTTTTCCACAGGAATCTGAAAGGAAGGTTTGAAAATGTTTAATACTCTGGCACGAGGTAATAATTATTTGTTTTACCTGGACAGTTTTATATTTTTGAACGTTTTATTGAAAGATAAACTGCCTCTTTTGAAGTTTAGTAAAGCATTGTAGATGTATTTATGGACATTTTTTGACAACATAAATATGCATGATAGGTTTTATTTAATTCAATTCAGATCTAACGTTTCACAAGCAGCATGTAAAATTATGTAAAAAGCCATAATTGTGTTTGTGGAAAAGGAAAAGATTTCTACATTGTAATAGTGCGCCCCCTGCTGGGATTTTCCGGACACACATCAAAGTTGTACTGTAAAACAAGTTGAAACACATTTTGCAACTATATTTGCCAAAATGTAGTGTTCATATAAAAATACAAAAAAATGTAGCAACATTCAAAGCCTTATTTCATTTTGTTTAATAGCACTGAACAAACTATCAGTATCTTACCTGTTATAGCTTTTTAAGTTATTAAAACTGTTTTTAATGAATTTTTACTTATTGAATATTTGCTTTTATTACATTTTTATTACTTTGTTATTTTATTGCATCATTTTATTATTGTTTTATGATTTCTATATGCTTTTTTATTTTATGTTATCTTTAGTTTTCGCATTAAGAACTTTTAGTTACCCTTGTGATAAATAAAATTGTTATATAAGTAAAGCTGAGTTGAGTTCAAATCAGCTTTGCAGGTGTGTTCACACAGGTCATGTTGACAAGCTAATAGAGGATTTCTGAGCTGTTCGTAGCAGATTTTACCATTTTAAAACAACCTTAATTTTCAACAATTCATAGCAGTGTAAAGCTTTCATTCTGCCATCATTTACATGACTTTTTAGGCAGAAATATTTAGAAATTCTTGCAGAAAGTTCCCCCAGGATGCATCAGAATTATTAACCATTACTGCTACAGTTCCTGTTACTATATATTACAGATTTTTAAGTTTGTAAATAACCACAGAATTCTATGTCATTGAATCTGTGTTGAGAAACTGGTGGCCATTCACACAAACTGCTGACATGTTTCCACTGAACCAACGCAAATTTGTTTTATAAAACTGTAACTACTGGTTTAGTTCTCACAATAATAAAACATGAAATACAGCGGGTAAAATAAGTTTTGAACACGTCACCATTTTTCTCAGTAAATATATTACTAGAGGTGCTAATGACATGACATTTTCACCAGATGTTGGTAACAACCCAAGTGATCCATACA